TCCTGGAGGAGCTGGAGGGGTACGTGCGCGAGCATCCGTCGTGGAGGGGAGCAGGGAGGGAAGAGATAGAGGCAGCAAGTGAAGCTGTGGAGAAGCTTGTGACTGTGAAGCTGTACCACAAGCTGTTCGCTGTGGTCGAGCAAGACAAGCTGCTAGACCAGGAGCTGCAGACGAGGATCTTTTGCCTACAGTTTCTTCAGCCCTGCCACCTTGACATCAGCAATGACTGCATCGAGCGAGGAGGGAAATCTCTAGAGGTTGCAAAGTTGGAGCTGCAGCGGATGAACGCGTACAAGTCGCCCAAGGACAAGCTGGTGTGCCTGTACAACTGCTGCAAGGTTGCAAGCCAACTGCTAGCGACAACGAGCAGCGAGAGTGCGACAGGAGCCGACGAGCTTCTTCCACTCTTGATCTACATCATCATCCTCTCCAACCCTCCTTCTCTTCACTCAAACCTGCAGTTCATCTACCACTACCGCCATCCCTCGCGCTTGCTCGGCGAGCAAGGATACTGCCTCACCAACATCATGTCTGCCGAGACTTTCTTGCTGCAGGTGCTTGCTTCCTCCCACCCCTTCTCCTCCTCCTCCTCGTTGCCCTCACCCTCCGTCTCCTCCTCCTCCCCCACCGTGCTCCTCCTCCTCTTCCTCCTCTGCCGCCCCCTCCTTGTCTCGTTCACTCCCCTGCAGGTCTGCTCCAATGAGGGTCAGCTCACGCACTCTGGCGCGCTTTCCATTGAGCAGGAGGAGTTCCGCTCGCACTTCCAGGCGAGGCTGCAGCAGCTGCAGCACGCGAACTGCAGGGAGGACGCGGGGGCGGGAGAGGAGGTGGACGCCAAGGGGGTGGAAGGGGAGACGCACGGGGGTCAAGATCGGGGGATGGAGGATGACGGGTTCGGTTCGTGGGACGACAGGATGTTTGATACCAACACCACGGGCGAGGAGAGGTGGAAGGAGGAAGGAGAGGGGGAGGAAGAGGGGGAGGAAGAGGAGGGGGGAGGGGAGGGAGAGGACGGGGACGGGGAGCGAGCGAGGGATCATGTGCCGGAGGCGCTGGAAGTGAGGTAAGGACTATGCCCTCAGGCTCGCTGGGGTCTTCTCACCCTGCTCGCAGCGAGCTGCGGCTCCTCGCAGCAGCTGGAAGGCTGGAGGCACATCCTGCCTTCTGCTACGAGGGGAAGGAGGCGGAGGAGATACCGATCAGTCAGGTCTAAAATCTCCACATGCTGCCGATCGGCATTCTTACTCACTTGTTCGCTGCGCTCAGGTACAAGACCTGCTCCACCAGTACAAGAACCTCGCGCGCCTCCTCCGCTCTGTGCTCACAGAGTAAAAGTTGTACATGTTGTTTATCACATGTGCTGAATCGCAACGAGCTCTGCATCAAACTTAACTCCTCCTGCTACCCCTTCCCCCACCTCATCTCTCAGTCTCCTCTCCCCTTGCCCCCCTGGGATATCCGGGACAGAGCCTTCTTCGTATTCAGGGATCGGTTGCTCCTGTGCTCCTCCACCATGTTTCGCTTCCTCATCACCGGCTTCGAGTGCAGCTCTCTCGGCTCCTCCTTGCTGGCAACCTTCATGACCGAGAGCGAGTCAGGGGGTCCTGCTTTCCTCACGTCCTTCTTCATTTCGCCGCTCTCATGCGCTGCAAACAAGATGAAAGCGACGAGGATGGCGATGTATTGGACAACAACAAATACGATGGACCAGTTCGAGGTCTTCCTCTTCCATACAGGACGCAAACTTGCCGTCCCGCTGCTCGCTGGCGGCTGCTGCATCCTGCTGTCTCTGGTTGTGTCCCTTGGCTCCCAGCCACCGTTCCTCCTCCTTCTCCCCTGTCGTTCCTCCTCCTCCTCCTCCTCCTCCTCCTCCTCCTCTGTCTCTTCTTGTGCTCCTTCTCCTTCTCCTCCTCCTCCTCCTCCTCCCCTCGTCACAGTCTGTGTCTCCTCGCCACCACCTCCTCCTTGTGGACAGCGGCATCGTACTAGAGCGATTGAGCCTTTTTAAACTACTGCCTTTAAAGTTCACCTAACTCAATACTGAGGCGAGCTGTAACACAGATGCGACGATCCAGCAGGTGTAATGTATGTTTGATGGCTTCAGAGCTGTTGGAGGATAGAGAGCTGTAGCAAGTGTCCGTGTTTCCTTTGCGAATGTGAGAGAAAGATCAGAATATTTGAGATGAGGAAGAGTCGACAGGTTGGAAGTTGGGAGGGGGTAAAATGAAGGTCTTGCAAGTAATCAGTATGAACGTGGTTGTGATGATAAAGGTGGTTGTTTCAGCTTGACTCACTCACATTTCACCTCTATGATCGCTTTTGCCTCTTGTTCACATTGGTTTCTCTCTGCCTCTCTGTATCTGCTTCTCATGTACATTGATCGGAATGTGGAAATGTTCGGACTGGTTATGTAACCTAGCAAATGTGATGTGTAAGACAACATGACGAGGTCTACTTGCAAGCAACGTGCACGAAAGGGAGGTTGAATAAAAAAACTTACATCTCTACAAACAGCAACGTCAAAGTAAGTATGCAGGAGCCAACAAAAAGTTATTGAGGTTTCCGCTCCCTCCCTGAAAAATTAGAATTCTTACAGTAAAAGTAAACACCACCAAATATCATCTCGTCTATCCACCAGACGACTATGACACACGGAGAAGGCGGAGGATATCAAGGCAGTCCTTAGAAAGGAAAACCACGAAGCTCGTGTTTAATTTAGTCTAGTTTGCTTTGTTTAGGACTCTACAGATTCGCTTTCTTGCGTTGTTGAACCAATGAACTATTTGAGCTTGACTCAACCCACTCTTCATGGCCAACTCCTTCTTCTCGTAGTTAGTTGGAAATGGCTTTGACATGTTCGCGAACAGCCATTCCTGGTGACCCCAAGTCAGCAAAACTTTCGTGCACAGCCACATTGGACAGACCTGGAGGACAGCTACTGATTCTTGCGAATGATGCTTCCTCTTTAATTTGCTGGGATGAGCTTTGGATCCTGTGAAGCACACATGTCAAGATACAGAACATCAGGGCTCGACGGCAAACTGACCTGCATACATCGAGCTAAACAAGTGCATGTTAGAATCGTCCGAGAAATCCGGCGAGCGCGTTCTATTTTCCATCAAGGGGTACGTAAAGTTTGACGGAAAGACGTGCTTGCTTCCCGGGGGCATCAACGCGACCAAGCTCCAAGGAAGGAACTGCGGTTTCACGTCTTCCAGAGCATGCGCCGAGCAGGAATCTGAGGGGTTAGCCACCTTGCTATTTCCCGAGAGTTCAAGAAGCGCAGAGACAAGGTCTTGCTCCTGAGCATTCGAACTGTCGGAGCTTGTCCCGCTTGTTGCGCTGCATGAGGAGCAAGAACGTGGCAGAGGGCTGTGAAAGCGCGAGTGAGACCCTGTGAGGTTGCTCTGTTCCATGTACTCCAAAGCCTCGTCGAAGAGTGAGCTGGATGCACTAGAGGCGAAGTGCTGGTGCCTCACCATCACTGCGGGCACATGATCGATTGCAAGCATCTGATGTGGTGATTCTGTTGTCCAGTCGAAATCCAACGATTCGAAAGAGACCGTGCTTCGGAGGCAGAAGTAGCAAGGGGGAGGGAATCAAGAAGAAGGAAGGCGGAAGATGGACGACGCGACAGGAAAGACAAGGAGGAGAGAAGGAGAAGGAGGGAGGGAGGGAGTAACAGCGATCAAATGGACGAGCAACGACGAGGTTGGAGCACGAATCCTGTGGCAGCGAACTATGTAGGCGGAGGGAATTCAGACCCCGACGTGGAAGCGAGGGTGGGTATTTCAGTACCGGTATTTTCAACCACAGATCGTTGGTTATTTGGTGGGGTACTTACACCAAGGGAGTCAGCATGTGGTGTACACGATACGGTCACCTCGGCATCTCAGGAGGGGTACGAGAAAGGGAATTGGTGGGTACTTGTTGTCGGATGGTACATTTGGGTGGTAGGGGTGTTACTGTATTTTTGAAATCAAAACAAAGCAGGTCCTAGTCAAGACTTTTATCTAGTGTACATATAGAAAAATCTCGCATGCATTGTTACTACCTTCTTTGAAGCCCTTCGTAATCTCCATCCACCCATGGCTTGTAACACCCCCCCCTCACGTACCCCCGTTGAAGGACTACCCCAGTAGTCCAAAGTTCCCGTCTACAGCTTTCCCCCACTCTCACGTCCCTGGTCATTTGCATGACCCACCCACCCTTGCAAAATCATCACAGTAAATTGGAGGGGTGGTACTTTCCTCCATTGTGACTCCTTGTCGACAGATCCACGTCCCCATGTTTTGTCACAACCACCCCACCCCCTTAAACAGCAAGATTTTTCAAAGTACCCCTATACATGATACATTTTATACCCCATCTTGGTCTGAAATCAGTACCCACCCTGTCTTCTCGGTAAACACCGGGAACTGAAATCGAACGCCAGGAAAATCACGAGTAGTCAATTAACCCCCCCTGTCTTCCCAATGACTTCCTGATTTTGACCACCCTCCCAAATATCGACGTACCCCACCCTTTGGTGTCGTCACTGGTACTTAAATGGAGCAACTGTGAACTACCATGGTATACCTTAATTTATTATTGTCTCTATCGAAGAATTCTCTACCTTGAATAGGTAGTTGATAACCTTGCTTGCATCATAACACCATCGCACATTTTGAATGGGTGTCACAGTCCACCACCCCACCCCGAGAATCGCTATCTTTTATCGCTCCCCTGGTCAGTGGTACTATTGATCTTGACTAGAATAGGGTTTTACCCCCACCCCTACTTCTCCCTCTTGAAACTAACCACCCCTTAGTACTAATATTCCCTGGTCAACTCTACTCCAAATTCATGTAATCACCCCCTGGTCCTCACCCGTGGTCCGGAGCACAGAAAGTTTCCATTCTAGATCTTTGACCCCTACTTTTGCCTAATTTATACCCCACCTTTGCGGTGTCGTTTTCTGCTAGAATTGTCCCACCCCCTGGAAGGGGACCCCTCACCCCACAAAAGACTGTACTCCCCGGGTCAGCGCCCTAAATGAGTCCCCGATTCCTGTCCCCCCCGTGACTGATACACCTAGTACTTAGTACCCCACATTTGATTAATGTACCCAGATAATTCCACATAGAGGAAGGGATCTATAGGGGTCATCAAGTACCCCTACCCCCTCTAATCTCTGTCACATCCCCAGGAAATTGGAAGTATGGGGATGTGGGCTCGGCTGTCCCATGCGGAAAAAAGAAATCGGAAGGATGTGACCACATGGTCGTAAATAGGGTGGGTCCTTTATGGTACATGGAGGGGGTACATAGGTGCAGGTCAAGTGGTCACGGGCTGAAAGCCTCGTCTCAAGTGACCCGTCACTTTTACTTTGAATAAGGGGGTAGGGGTGTCGACAGGGACAAAGTCAGGTCCCCTAGAAACTCAAGATAGATCTTTGAGTAAAGTTTGTGGTACTTTACTTCTGGTCAATATTTTATTTTAAAACCATTTAATTTCCTGCTTTACTGCTGACCCGACAGTATTTTATTGCTGTTTTTATCAACGATTGCAATAAACAGTTTACTCCAGCAAACTCCGTCAGTCGGAGTCCCGAGGGGAACATCCGATGATCTCCGGAGTCCGGGCCCGGCCCGGAGCGGCCGCAGCCTCGGCCCGCCGGGCCACAAGTGACTCTGTGATGGCACCCGCCGCTCCGCTCGGCGATCACTGAACTTTCAAACCTTGAACGGTTTACTGTACTAGTAGTAACGACTCCTTTGAGTACTGGGCCTTCGGACGAGTAGTACTACTATGGTAAGTTTGGCAATCACAGTTAAACGGTTCGACAGCTCACTGACGGCTGCGGCGTCCGACAGTGAGCCTTTGAGTCAAGTAGTGACCGAAGAAGTCTGAATGAGCCTTTGAGTCAAGTAGTGATCGAAGAAGTCTGAATGAGCCTTTGAGTCAAGTAGTGATCGAAGAAGTCTGAATGAGCCTTTGAGTCAAGTAGTGATCGAAGAAGTCTGAATGAGCCTTTGAGTCAAGTAGTGATCGAAGAAGTCTGAATGAGCCTTTGAGTCAAGTAGTGATCGAATTCATTTAGTTAGTCACTCTCAGTCAGTTGGCTGCCCGACGATAATCGAAAGCTGCCTCAGCCCACCTGCAAACAAGTTGATCAGTAAGTGAGCCCTCCGATCATGGCACATGCTGCTGCTGCTGCTGCTGCTGCTGCTGCTGCTGCTTGCTACTGCGCTTGCTCTTGCAGCTTCTGCCCGCAATCCCCCCCCCCCCTACTCCTCCTTCTCCTCCCCCTCCCCTTGAACCTCTCCTCCTCCTCCTCCTCCTCCTCAGTGGAACACAGGGCACTTACTTGTTGAAGACAAGCATTGATCGTCTTTTGATTCTTCGCAGCATAATCTTCTTCTGATCCTCCCAGTGCCTGCACGACTTCTTCAGCTGCATGGCTTCGATGCCCTCCTCCTCCTCTTTCCATCCTCCCCTTGCTGTCTTCCTGCACTTCTTCCTGTTCCCCCTCTCCCCCCTCCTCCTCCTTATCCTCCTTCCTCCCCCTCCTCCTGCGTTCCCCCTCCTCCTCCCTCCTCCTCTGCCTGATGTTTGTGTGGATGACTGCCCGCCAGCCCAGGAAGGCAGCGTCTGTCAGGGCGTGACGAGCGTTGAGGGTGAGGAGTTTCGTGATCCACCTGCCGGGCAAGTGAGGAGGACAAGGAGGAGGGAGCAGGAACTGCGCGGACGTACGCGATGCGTCTGGGGCGACTGGCCTCCTTGCTCCACTTGTGGAAGCAGGAGGATATCTTACGCCTGATGTCGTACTGGTCTGCGAAGGAAGCATGAGCGACAGGATTGACGGGGATCTTGATACCGAGCATGCGAGCGATTTGATCTGCAAACACACTCTGACGCAGAACCCGTTGAAGTCTTGCGATTTTCTTCCACAGGACGAAGCAGTAATTGCATACTGTAGGAGGCGTCAGGAGGAGGAGAAGGAGGTTGGAGGAACAGGACCGTAGAAGCGGAACCTCGCTTCGATCTCCGAGGCGATCTGATAGGATTGCTATGAGCTACTTGAACTTGTTGGTATCGCAACGTTGGTGAGGTTGGTAATGACCGTAATGATGAGAAACATGAAGAGGAGGAGGAGGAGGTTGGAGGAGGGTGCGTGCGGAAGAGGAGGAGGAGGAGGAGGAGGAAGAAAAAAAGGGAGGAGGAGGAGGGAGGGGGGGGAGGGAAGGAGGAGGATATAGAGGGGAGATGGAGTGTAAGGAGATGAAGGGGCAAATGGAAGCAGAAACTTGTATCGTTACCTCTCCTTGCAGATCGCGGGGCTTATGAGGACGATGTGATGGAGGTCTGGAGGATGAGCGAGTCAGCAGGAGGAGGAGGAGGAGGAGGAGGAGGAGGAGGAGGAGGAGGAGGAGGAGGAGGAGGAGGAGGAGGAGGAGGAGGAGGAGGAGGAGGAGGAGGAGGAGGAGGAGGAGGACGGAGGAGGAGGAGGAGGAGGAGGAGGAGGAGGAGGAGGACCTTGTCTCAGCACCAGAGAGGAGCAGCTGGGGAGGTCGGCAGGGGGGAGACTAAGAGGCTGAGAGTTGTGACTCATGTGATAGTCGTTTGCATCCGCCCTGACAAGTGAACTTGTCAAACATGAGACAACGCGCACACTGCTGATGGTTGAGATTGAGATTGATGCTTCCTTACCATGAGGAGTATGTCATTAGCTCGCCAACAGCGTCGTTTGTCAACAGTTCTTCTTGAAACACCTTCAGAAGAACACGTTAGAGTCAGCGAACCCTCAGTCAGCTGAGCTGTCAGGTTGACAAGTTTGACATGTTGGATTGTGTGCTTGCACACGGTGTTGTCATGATGACCAGTTTGAAAGGGACAGAATAGACGGTTGTAACACAGCAACACATGGAACTCCAAAGTTTGTTCGCACATAAGCTTGTTCTTCGTTCCAGGTGTTCAAAACCTGTCTGACTTCGGCATCTGCACGACAGTCAAGAGCGCTGTCATGCTGCAATGATTGAGAACCTTCGATGTTGTAATCATACATCAAGTGGTTGTCAACATCATGACCAACCTGAAAAACACGTGTCACTTCTTGTTCCACGTGAGTCAAGAGCAGTTGGCACAACATCCATGAAAGAGTCGTAGGGTTGAGCTGTGGAACGATGAGTTTGAGCGCAAGGGAAGCTATCAGCTCATCTCACCCAACATGTCTGAATTCATCGTAGAGTGCGATCGATCACTGTGGCATGCCGGCTCGTCTTGCAAACAGCAACATCAACCGATGATCGTTGCTGACTGGCTTTCATTACCTGTGTGGAACAAGTCTCCTACTTCTGACAGCATCTCCACATGTCCTCGCAGATTATCCAGGTTGAGATTGATGAAGGGTGAAGACTGTAACGAGACTCAGGAGAGAGTTCTCACGCGGTTGATGATGCGGCGGCAGGCAGGTTGCATGCCCTACCTTCTGCTCTAGACTCCTGAGAAGGTTTCTACCTCCTCGCACTATGATATCGTCTCCATCTACCAGCACTTGCTGAATCTTCTTCGCTCCTTGTTTCTTCGCCATCACCTGATTCACAAGTCACTGCTCTTCCCAAGTTACCTCCCTCCCTCTTCTCCTCTTCCTTGCGCCTCCTTTCTCCTCCTCTTCCTCCAACCTGGTCTGCACTTTTCATCCTTTCCCTCCACTCAACTCTCCTCCACTCTCCTCTCCTCTCCTCTCCTCTCCTCTCCTCTCCTCTCCTCCTCTCTCATCATATCCCATCTCTCCATTTCTCTCATCTTTATCTCACTTCACAGATCGCGTCGTGCCACTGGTCGAAAAAATCCTCGTTCTCCTCGCCTTCCACAGCCTGCGCCGCTCATCTCACTTTCTTCAAGATCACCTATTCACACAACCTGCAGCCTTTCAAGAGGGTCCTCCTCGCCGTCCTCGTCCTCGTCCTCGTCCTCGTCCTCCTCCACCTCCTCGTCTTCCTTCTCCTCGTCCTGCTCCTGCTCCTCTTCGTCCCATTTTTGTTCTGCCTCCTCCTCGTCTTCCTCCTCAAACTGGGCTGCTGGCGAAAAGTTCTTTTCCCTCCCGTCGGTTCTCAGTGCGACAACTTTGTAATCCTGCGAACAGATTTGACGAGAACGAAAGAGAGGAGGAGGAGGAGGAGGAGATGGTGGTGGTGGTGGAGACAGAGGAGGATGAGAAGGACGAGAAGGAGGAGGGGGAGGGGGAGGGGGAGGGAGAGGAGACGGAGGATGAGGAGGAGCAGGAGGGGAAACAGGAACATGGGGGGAAGGGGAGGGTTGAAAGAGGACGGCAGGAGGCAACATAGGTGTGAGGTTGAAGGTGGAGTGTCAGAAACTTAGGTAGGAGGGAGGAGGGAGGAGTGAGGAGTGAGGAGGGAGGAGGGAGGAGTGAGGAGGGAGGAGGGAGGAGGGAGGAGGGAGGAGTTGTAACGTACATTCTTCTTCCTTTCGAGCGACGAAAAGTTCCCGACTGACCTGAATATAACGAGTGACAACTCCTCTTCATTGGTTTCCTGCTCCTGCTCCTGCTCCTGCTCCTGCTCCTGCTCCTGCTCCTGCTCCTGCTCCTGCTCCTGCTCCTGCTCCTGCTCCTCCCCGTCCTTCTTCGTTTCTCATACCTGTCTCTAGGTCGTAGCATCAGCTCTGTCGAGGTACCTGCAGACTCGTTCATTACATCTCTCTGCTCGTCCTGCTCCTCCTCCTCCGCCTGCTCCTCCTCCTCATCGTCTTCCCCCTCCACCTCTGTCCACCTCTACCTCGTGCTCCCCGTATGAGATCAGAAATCTCTTGCAGCTCCATCCCTGCGACTGGCCAGCCGTCGATGGAAAGGAGTTGGTCCCCCCGAACTATCGCCCTCTCTCCTGCTCCTGCTCCTGCTCCTGCTCCTGCTCCTGCTCCTGCTCCTCCTGCAATAGATCGAACTCTGCTGGCATCGGATACAAAAATCTTCCCCTGGAAAGAATCAGCTGGAGGAGGA